ACAATAAAGCAAACACCTTGAAACTATCGCTAAAGTAATATTATTAAGTCTGACATGTACTCTGTGTTACCAGAAGATATGAATGTGTGGTTTCTGTTTGGAAGTGAATCTCTAAGTACCTGAAGCCTAGCACCTGTAGTTGTTTGTGAGGGTGAACCTGTGCATGTAAAGTTTTAACCATAGAAAAAATGCTCAATAGTGGTTGTGGAGAGCCGGAGAGGCACACCCCCCAGAGCACTGAGTCCAGCGCCGGGAGACCCAAAGCCCCAGGCGCCCAAAGGGACCCCAGAAGCGAAGGCACCAAGGCGGGGCCAGCCCCGGAAATCAGACCCCCACCAAGGGAGGAGGAGAGACAGCCACGAAGAAGCCCCCCAGCCACCGCCATGCCGGCGCCCCGGGGAGCCGCGGGGACGAGTCCGCGGGCCCCGCCGCCAGCCGGCCACCCCGAAGTACATGTCTCTATCCAAGACATTAGATTACAGGTGGCTGCACTGGTGCCCATATAATAACAAAGTCAATCCAAAGTTTTTTTAATTTATTTATTTTTTAACAGTGTCCTGTCTGGCGATGTGGCAATAGGAATAATTGTCTTGATGCCAAAAAGAGCACATATATATATATATATACATATATATAAATATATATATATATATATATATATATATATATATATATATATATATATATATATATATATATATATATATATATATATATATATATATATATATATGTATATATATATATATAGATATACATACATACATACATACATATATATATATATATATATACATATATATATATATACATACATACATACATACATATATATATATATATATATATATATACATACATATATATATATATATATATATATATATATATATATATATATATATATATATATATATACGCGAGGCCATTTTAATGGCGATAATTTTTTTAACATGAGATTAACACTATGTGGTTTTATGGTACAATTTTCCAAGTACATCCCGCTGCAGCCTGCGAGAAGGCGGGGCTATTTTCCCCCAGTCTATGTATTTCTCATAGGCTTTGAGAGCGGAGCTCCTCAAGGAAAAAAGACGCTCATACACTGGGTAGCGCTAGTGCCTTTTCTTTAAGCCCCACCACCAACAAACAAGTTGAGTGTCTGGTAACTAGTAGCAACCTGAAATACGCTGAGAAAACAGATTACTGAGGTGAAATGGAATCTGCTACGGCACTCTTGCTGTCTGTGTACGCCACAGGTCGGTATCGTGTGTGTGTGTGTGTGTGGGTGGGTGGGTGTGTCTGTGTGTGTGTGGGTGGGTGTGTGTGTGTTCTCATTTTTGTTAGGAGGCTTAAAAGTAACTTTCTAGAGCATAGACTACCTCCATCTAGTGATGTCGGTCTATTGATTTTGATGTATTGATTGAAAATTGTTCATTATTATCTTGGTTAATTAACATCTAATGTTAACTGTACTACATTTTATAGCAGTAGGGTAAAATGCTTGTCTTTGTTCAAAAGACTGTATTAACTGTAAAGACTGTCTTTTACATCAGCCTGTTTTCAGGGCCTTTTTTTTTGGCTACATATTTGTTATTTTTTGCTACATGCCTCCCCATCTTCTTGCCATATGTTTCTATGGCATAAATCAGTGTCTGTGACCTGTTTTCATTAAAAAAAAAGAACATTGGCACAAACCTAGCCTGTATGTATTTTTTGTATGTCATCGAGAGTATTTAAATGATTTTCAATCAGAAAAAAAATTTGCGATTAAAATGCGATTAATCGCGAGTTAACTTAGGCATTGATGCGATTAATCGCGATTAAAAAAATTTAATCGATTGACAGCACTAATATATACACATAAAAAAAAAAACTGTTTTCTCACCCCTCGTGGGGTGGTATGTGTCATCCTCAAGCTCGGGTCCTCTACCAGAGACCTGGGAGTTTAAGGGTTCTGCGCAGTATCTTAGCTGTTCCTAGGACTGCACTCTTCTGGACAGAGACCTCTGATGTTTTACCTGGAATCTGCTGTAGCCACTCTCCAAGTTTGGGGGTCACAGCCCCCAGTGCTCCAATTACCACTGGCACCACTGCTGCTCTTACTTTCCATATCTTTTCTAGCTCCTCTTTCAGCCCTTGGTATTTCTCAAGCTTCTCGTGTTCTTTCTTCTTGCTGTTGCTGACGCTTGGGATTGTCACATCTATCACTACTGCCTTCTTCTGCTGTTTGTCAATCAACACGATGTCTGGTTGGTTAGCCATCACCTGTTTGTCAGTCTGGATCTTGAAGTCCCATAGGATCTTAGCTCGGTCATTCTCAACTACCTTAGGAGGTGTCTTCCATTTTGACCTTGGGACTTCCAGCCCATACTCATGACAGATGTTCCTGTACACTATGACAGCTGCCTGGTTGTGGCGTTCCATGTATGCACTTCCTGCCTGAATTTTACACCCTGCTGTTATGTGCTGTATTGTTTCAGAGGCATCTTTGCACAGTCTGCATCGGGGGTCCTGCCTGGTGTGGTAAACCCCGGCCTCTATTGATCTTGTACTGAGTGCCTGTTCTTGTGCTGCTATGATTAGTGCCTCTGTGCTGTCCTTCAGTCCAGCCTTTTCCAGCCACTGGTAGGATTTTTTGATATCAGCCACTTCTTCTATTTGTCTGTGGTATACGCCATGCAGCGGCTTGTCCCTCCATGATGGTTCTCCTTCCTCTTTCTTGTCCTCACTTTCGGTTTTCTCCTGCCTGAGGTATTCGCCAAGCCATTTGTCTTTGGGGGCAATCTTCCTGATGTACTCCTGGATCTTAGTTGTTTCATCCTGGACAGTGGTCTTGACACTCACTAGCCCTCGGCCTCCCTCGCTACGCTTGGTATACAGTCTCAGGGTGCTGAATTTGGGGTGAAACCCTCCATGCATTGTGAGGAGCTTGCTCGTCTTGATGTCAGTAGCCTCTATCTCCTCTTTTGGCCAGTTTATTATACCAGCGGGGTATCTGATGACTGGTAGGGCATATGTGTTGATGGCTTGGATCTTGTTTTTCCCATTCAGCTGACTTTTCAGGACCTGTCTTACTCTTTGTAGGTATTTAGCTGTGGTAGTCTTTCTTGCTATCTCCTCGTGGTTTCCGTTAGCCTGTGGCACGCCAAGGTATTTGTAGCTGTCCTGAACATCTGTAATGTGCCCTTCCGGTAGTTCAACGCCCTGATCTTCTTCCCTCTCTTTGAGGCCATGCGACCGCACTTGTCCAGTCCGAATGACATTCCAATGTCGTTGCTGTAGATCCTGATAGTGTGGATCAGTGAGTCGATGTCTCGCTCACTCCTGGCATACAGCTTGATGTCATCCATGTAGAGGAGGTGACTGATGATTGTTCTGCTTCGGAATTGGTATCCGTAGCCAGTCTTTGTGATGATCTGGCTGAGGGGGTTCAGGCCTATGCAGAACAGCAGCGGGGATAGTGCATCGCCCTGGTATATGCCGCACTTGATGGTGACTTGTGCTGTTGGCTTTGCATTGGCTTCCAGACTTGTTTTCCACAGCTTCATTGAGTTCTTGATGAAGGCTATTAGAGTCCTGTTGATCTTGTACATTTCCAAGCATTCCAGTATCCATGTATGTGGCATTGAGTCGTAGGCTTTCTTATAGTCAATCCAGGCAGTGCACAGATTTGTCTGCCTGGTCTTACAGTCTCGAGTGACTGCTCTATCCACTAGTAGCTGGTGCCTGGCCCATATGTTTCTCCAGTACTGTTCAGTCTCAGCCCTGGGTGGATCAGATCTTTCTCCAGGTCTGAGAGCTGACTAACCTCTCTTCGTGTTGCCTTGATCTTGGCTTCCAGCCTTCTCCTCCATGGGGGGTAGTGCTCCGCTTTGTGGCCTTTGGTGTTTATCTTATAGCCAAGCATCTCTAGGATCACTGTAGCTGTGGCATAGGTCAGCTCATTGGTCTCAGTTATGTATTTAGTAGGGATAGTACGTAGCGCTGCATTTACATCTTCTAGAAGACTTTCAGAGGGTACTCTGTCACTTAGCCTTGGCAGTCTTGGTCGTCGTACTAGGGGATCCAGTTTAGTTATGAGTCGTAGGTCAGCCGCCCTTTCCGTTAGTGGGCTTGTTGTTGTTGGCTGGGGACCAAATCTCTGTGTGTTGGGATGATGATGATATCTCTCTATTGACCTGTTGTCCTGACTCCCCCTTGCCGCAGCATATCAGTTGTACCTCATCAATTTCTAGCTGTGATAGGAGCTGCCGTTTGCAGATGTTAGAGCACTGAGTTAGTAGTAGTTTCTTTGTCAGTGTCGATGATGGATTCTGGAGCTGCCATAACTCCAATAATCTCTGCATGTAACCTCTCTCACTGGGGTTGCTTGTATAGTAGCATTTTATCAGTTCCAAGTTTTCTGCTCTTGTCCATCTATGTCTTGTTCCAGTAGCACTCATGCCTGAGGTAGGCCAGTAAGCACTAATATATACATATATATATATATATATATATATATATATATATATATATATATATATATATATATATATATATATATATATATATATATATATATATATATATATATATATATATATATATATATATATATATATATATATATATTATTAAAGTATTTCTGATTCTGATTAAAAAAATGGAAATTTCATGTGAGCTGTACAAAAGGAAATTTCGTTTTGTTTACACTCTGTATACAAAACAACAATAGATGTTGTCTAAGTCTAAGTCTAGTCATCAGATGCATTTTCTTTGCCCTGGTTTAGGTATGAATAAAACTAGATGAGTTAAATAAAACAATTTCAGACATCTAATTTATATCCTTTTATGAAATATAGAATTTGATATGCTTGCATAGAAGATATGTGAAAGGAAAAAAACATCAAGCTATCATGTTTGTCAAAGGAGGAGCATTAAAAACAGTTTAAATATAAGAGCGTTTGATCCCACAGCAACCAGAGCCCAGCGGCTTTCGCTGTGTTTTCCTTTCTCTCAAGATGGAAACATATAATAGAGAGGAACTCTGCTTTCCGCAACTTAACAACTCTTGCAGAAAGTTACTGCAGGATCAGGCTAAGAACACTTTGCTTAACCTTTTTTTCTATTGTATTTCTTTTCTGACAGTATCACTCAATCTGCTGGTTATCATCTCCATCTCCCACTTCAGGTACAAATACATTGTTGTATGTTAAATATTTGGCAATAAAGGAAAATGCTTTTCTTTTTTAAATTTTTTATCAAACATTTGTGTTTCATCTTTTACTTTATCTTTTGCTTTAGAGATGTCAATCTTACTTGAAGCACCATTTGACTGTTTATAAGTATTCTATTATTTTATGCTAAAAGGGATTTTTAATTAGGAAGTATCTTCTGTAATTTATTTCTTTAGTGATTGTAATGGCCATCCACCTTAATTCTGTGTTTCAGGAAGCTGCACACCTCTACCAACCTCTTCCTCCTCTCTCTGGCTGTTTCAGATTTTCTTGTTGGACTTCTACTCATGCCGTTTGAAATCATTCAAACAGAAGGATGCTGGAGACTTGGAAGCTTCATGTGTGCATTCTTTATGTATACCTCCTTTATCATTACATCTGTGTCAGTAGGAAACATAGTTCTTATATCAGCAGACCGATATATGGCAATCTGTGATCCTTTATGTTATCCCACTAAAGTAACAGTGGGAAGAGTTCAAATCTGTATTTGTCTGTGTTGGGGGTGGTCTGTGTTCTATAATATTCTGGTACTAAGGGATAGCATAAAAAATCCAGACAAGTATAACTCATGTTATGGAGAATGCGTGATTTTAGTTGATGTTTTAACTGGAGTCTTTGATGTTATATTGACCTTTCTTGGCCCAATAACTGTCATCATTGTTCTATATATGAGAGTTTTCATTGTTGCCGTGTCTCAGGCTCGGTCTATGAGGTCTCATGTTGCGGCTGTCACTATAAAAGGTGTAGTTTGTAAAACTGCAAAGAAGTCTGAGAGAAAAGCAGCTACAGCCCTTGGTGTGGTTGTGATTGTGTTTCTCATATGCTTTTGTCCATACTATTACCCCGCTTTTGCAGGCCAGACAGTTGATGCTCAACTTTTAGCATTTTTCATCTGGTTACTTTACTTTAACTCCTGTATAAATCCCATTATCTATGCTTTTTTCTACACCTGGTTTAGAAAATCAGTTAAACTGATTATAACTTTTCAGATATTAAGACCTAATTCTTGTGACGCCAACATATAATAGAAATGTCTTCACAGTTTTCCACTGAATAGACATATTTTTATTGACTACTGTTTCATTTTACTCTTTGCATGTTTCAATTGAATATTTCTGTCACTGGTTTCATATACAGAACAGCTCCATAAATATTGGAAATAAAAATGTGTTAATATTACATTTTCTATAAGCAGACAATGTGTTTATTCCTTCCAGAGCTGTAATGAACAGTTCTCGTAGCCTTATACTGTCTTTCTGTCTGTCTCTGTCTGCATAGAGTCACTGATTTTACCTACCTTAAAGTCAAAATATTATTCTTTTTTTTGCCATTTTTCTTTAAAGAGTAAAACATTCATAATTAGTTGGTCCAGCCTTGATTTCATTGCTTTATATAAATGCTGCAATGATCCTGACTTTCCCACACAGATTAATTCATCTTTTGATTGTGACAGAAACCGTAAGAGCCTTCTTTTAACCAGTTAGGTGGGAAATGGGAACAGAACACATTGCTATTCTATACTACGTGGAGCAGAGGAAAATCTGGTCAAACTTCTTTTCTGGCAATTTATTAAAATGACTCTGAACCAAAAGTACAGTAAGACAAAATTCATAACATTTCAAATTGTGACTTTTTTTTTTAACTTACCCTTATAATGCCCTGAGGTCATTAAATGGTCAATGTCTGGCCCAGCCCATTGGCAAGGGCAATATTTTGCACACAGAGGACCTTTCTCCCTAGCCTCGTGAGACCATCCTGATCTCGCAAGCTTTCAAGGTTTCACTCGTAGTCCAGACTGATCAGTCTGGAGACTCTCCGTTGAAGAAAATTTGGAGCCTTTCACCAAACGAACGTCCAATCAGCGTTGGCTTTGAGGCGGGTTGAGGTGTGACGCAATGAGAAGCGCGACAGTTCAGTCTAAGGAACATGGCGGCTTCAGCCGATGAAACTAGCGTTAGCGTGGCTATTGAGCAAGTTTTATTGGAATTACAGAGTACTTCTTCCCTGAAAGAAGAGCAAAACACTGCTCTGGAGGCTTTTCTCAGAGGAAAAGATGTTTTTGCTCTTCTCCCGACTGGTTTCGGCAAGAGTTTGATCTATCAATTGGCTCCTCTTCGTCGTCGCTCTGTTAGTACGTCATATGCTTTGTTGATCTGATTGGTTTATTTGGCCCGTCTATCACCAACATACACTATATTGCCAAAAGTATTTGCTCACCTGCCTTGACTCACATATGAGCTTAAGTGACATCCCGTTCCTAATCCATAGGGTTCAATATGACGTCGGTCCACCCTTTGCAGCTAGAACAGCTTCAACTCTTCTGGGAAGGCTGTCCACAAGGTTTAGGAGTGTGTTTATGGGAATTTTTGACCATTCTTCCAGAAGCGCATTTGTGAGGTCGCACACTGATGTTGGACGAGAAGGCCTGGCTCTCAGTCTCCGCTCTAATTCATCCCAAAGGTGTTCTATCGGGTTGAGGTCAGGACTCTGTGCAGGCCAGTCAAGTTCATCCACACCAGACTCTGTCATCCATGTCTTTATGGACCTTGCTTTGTGCACTGGTGCACAGTCATGTTGGAAGAGGAAGGGGCCAGCTCCAAACTGTTCCCACAAAGTTGGGAGCATGGAATTGTCCAAAATGTCTTGGTATGCTGAAGCATTCAGAGTTCCTTTCACTGGAACTAAGGGGCCAAGCCCAGCTCCTGAAAAACAACCCCACACCATAATCCCCCCTCCACCAAACTTTACACTTGGCACAATGCAGTCAGACAAGTACCGTTCTCCTGGCAACCGCCAAACCCAGACCCGTCCATCAGATGGCCAGATGGAGAAGCGCGATTCGTCACTCCAGAGAACGCGTCTCCACTGCTCTAGAGTCCAGTGGCGGCGTGCTTTACACCACCGCATCCGACGCTTTGCATTGCACTTGGTGATGTATGGCTTGGATGCAGCTGCTCGACCATGGAAACCCATTCCATGAAGCTCTCTGCGCACTGTTCTTGAGCTAATCTGAAGGCCACATGAAGTTTGGAGGTCTGTAGTGATTGACTCTGCAGAAAGTTGGCGACCTCTTCGCACTATGCGCGTCAGCATCCGCTGACCCCGCTCCGTCAGTTTACGTGGCCTACCACTTCGTGGCTGAGTTGCTGTCGTTCCCAAACACTTCCATTTTCTTATAATACAGCTGACAGTTGACTGTGGAATATTTAGGAGCGAGGAAATTTCACGACTGGATTTGTTGCACAGGTGGCATCCTATCACAGTTCCACGCTGGAATTCACTGAGCTCCTGAGAGCGACCCATTCTTTCACAAATGTTTGTAAAAACAGTCTGCATGCCTAGGTGCTTGAATTTATACACCTGTGGCCATGGAAGTGATTGGAACACCTGATTCCAATAATTTGGATGGGTGAGCAAATACTTTTGGCAATATAGTGTAGGCCAATCAGCTAACCAGTATTTTCGCCCCTTCCCAAAATTGCTTAATCGGAAGGTTTCCAGATGGATATGCGGAGCAAATCCATCTGGTGGAGTCAGGTTACTTTCTCCCTACAGTACAGTGTAGACCAGGTCCAAAGCGTACAGGATCATGTGTTTTAATTGTGCATAAACATTACCTACCCTATTTGTGAGATTTTTTTTCAATGTTTGATTTACCAAGCCAGTTTCTACTGTCTTTACTTTCCCATCTTTTAATGCCCCTGACTCTTGAAGCCATTTCAAACAGAAGTGAGAGGTACAATGAAACAGACCAATGGAAAGATTAGCGCAGAGAGGTCCATCGCTTTCTTTACCAAAAGCTTTTTGTTTTGTATTTCTTATATCTATTTGATTAAATTTGGTTTTCGTATAGTGGTCACTTACAAGAAGTAATTTCAAGGCAATTTATAGAAACAATTCAATCAAACTACACAAAACATGTTTAGAAAGTTTTCTATCTAAGGAAACCCAGCTAATTGCTTTGTGTCATTGACTTTGCAGGATTCCCTCCACCTGAATTAGCATGTGAGAACAGTACGTTGACATTTGTTTGTATTTTGTCATTCACGTTGCAGCAATCACTTACACCAAGTATGTATGCAGCAACAGAGGTTAGGATAAAAGTCCCTTATATCAGGAAGACACCCAGAAACCCCCAGCAGAACCAGGCTCGTAGTGAACTTGTATGGGCTTCTGCTGAGGTCCAATGGGGGTTCAAGGAATGTCAGGGTTGGTGGAGGTTTTGAGGACGCAAATGCAGAGAGGAGTAGGCACGGATGAGTTTGGATGGTTTTAATGTAAGTCCAAGGGAAACAGAGGCAAAAATACAACACATAAAAATACTGAAAACCAAACAAAACCAATAAACGTCAGGAAAAATACTCAGAGGAAGCAAGAGACTAGGAAGCAAGTAACATCTTCAATACATACAAGAAACCAGCACTGAATGAAGGCTCTGGTACTCCTTTAAGCCCAGCACTATGATAATCAAGATTACCTTCACCTGTGTAGGCTACCCAACAAAGATCCTCTATAGTACTGTAGAGATGCACAACTGGCACTAACCCACACACAGGAACCCTGACAATAAACAGACATACTAAACAAACATAAAATAGGTGATTCATTCAATATTTATATGTTTGAATAGCTAACAATAAACAATTAATCAGATGAGCTCTGAGGCAGTTATCATGTAACAAAGGATGAAAGAGAGCACATGGAGTTTGTTACAGTAAAAGCTGAACCCATACCTAACTCTGGGATGGAAACAGCAGTAATCACTAAAAAACTAGCCCAACTCATATAATCTATGATGGAATTTGATGCCTTCCTCCAGGATAGTGGGTGCAAGTGGCCTCTATGTCCCTCTGCAGCGTAACTAAGGAGACACCTCATGACAACCTAAGCTACTTTAACTATAACTTTTATTAAAAAAAGTTTTACTAATATAAAAAAAAAAGTTATAATCTAACTCAAAAGTAGACAGGGTGTGGAGGTTAAAACTGCAAGAAAATAAAGGCTTAGGTTGAAGCAACAATTACTGCAGAATCAAAGTACAGAGATGCGATGAAGCTGGATAATAAAAATTTATCCCAGCAGCCTAAATTTATAACTACATAAATATTTCAAAAAGCTTATACTAACCTAACTGTTTTGGATGAAGTGTCTGGAAGGTAGAGCCAACAAGAAACATCTGTCTGGACTAAATTCTTCCCTGTTCACATTTGGCTGGTCACTCTTCCTCCTCCTACTTCTCTACTCGCCTAGCGACTTAGAAAATATCACTCTTTTTTATGATAAGCTTTAGGAAAAAAGGCTCATTTTGAGCCGAGTCCTAAAAGTAGACAAGATTATCTGCCTCATGGACTTTACCTGGTAGTTGGTTCAACAGTAGAGGAGCCTGAAAACTAAAAGATCAGCCTATCATTCCACTTTTATAAGTTCTAAGAACCTCTAGCAAACCTACAGATGAAAAGTAAAGTGTTCTGTTAGTAACATCACTAGCAGGCACAAAGCCCAGCCAGTTGGCTAATCTAACTTCCATGCCCATTAGGCAGCCAAGCAACTGGATTAGCTTTTAACTAATGTTGTGCAAAATGATATACTGCAGATAATGAATAAATGATTAACTAGAACTGGAGTTATAGTTAATCATTTAACCTATTCAAAATCGGAGGTGAAATCAATTTAGTGTTCTTAGTTGAATAATTGTAGCTTCAATTCTCTTACTTACCAGGGTTTGTGGTTTCACCTCTCGAGGGTTCCTGGACCGGATGTTAAAATCCAGGTATCCACACCAATCTAGTGACCCAGGCTAGGTTATCAGCAGAGCTTTTAATTATCAATAAAGAACCTTTTATCTATGTTTATTCGCACTATTACCAAAGGGGGGTGGATCTGGCCTCAGTGATAAATTGTCCGCTATATGAAACACAGAACCACTACAAGTTAAACAATGACGTCTTTATTCTAATAATTCAGGATTACAGAAAATCTAACATCTATGCAAACAATAGACGCTATTAGAACATAAACACGAGGT